AATAGTCCAAGCACTTCTTGAGCCAGCTTATAAAACGTTTCCTTTAAAGTAGCCATCTGTGCTCTGTAGTGATTAACCTTCAAAGCTTTGTTATTAGGTCCACATGAATTTTTTTCCCACACAAGAGGATCTTTTTAATTAACTTCCAAGTCTTTCTTTAAATAAATTTCATCCAAAGCCTTAGCATTAATAACTTTCCAAAAAACAACACTATAGTCCCCCTTTTGTTATATATTGCAAAAAATAACGATCTTACAAAGCTGGAAATATGTAGTTTTCTTTCTTTTTTTAAACGGATTGAAGAGAGACTCACCCAGCAAATGCCCAACTTGCAATTCTGAAGGTTTTCAATCTTAAAGAAACAGTAAGGAAAAAATTAAACTCCAAGGTGATTAAAAAGATGAGATTTGGATGAACTTTGAGTCCATGAAAAGGCTACATTAACAGCTCAGAGCACAATGAAACCCACGACTCCCAGCTGATTGCAAGCAATTGCAAAAACATCAGTTTCTGCTTTTGACTCACAAAAAAACCATCTGTCTGGAATGCATGAGGGTAATCTCAAGATCTCTCTTTTATCCAGAGAAAATTATCAGCGGTCTGGATCCTGCATCCAGCTGCCTTTTGGGCTCAATGTCTCCTGCAGAATGCACGGCATCAGTTCGCCATTCCTCACCAGAAGTCTGTATGTACAGTATATGTGTATGGGTATATGTGTATGTGTGTGTGTGTGTGTATTATAAAGCTTCTCCTTTCTTTTTAGTAACATAAGTTTCTCGGTTTACAGAGAGTAAGAAATGTTATAAAATAAGAAATGTTGATATTACTCACCAATTCAGCACTGAATAACAGTATTGTCTATCATCTAATAACTGAATATGATTTGGGGAATAATTTTTCCTTCACGAGGTCCTTATCAAATCCATACAGTAAGAACAATTTCTGCATCCCTTTTTATCACTAAGAAAGTGTTCTGTCTGAGCAGATGAAGTCCATGACTACAATACTTCATCTCTCTACAAGGTAAAAATCTCATAGCTTTTACAAGTGTGCATTAACTGACAGTAGCAGGTGACAAGGACTGGGACCATCAGAAAAATTATTCTGTACATTTTCTTACCAGTTCTCATTCACACTGAGAAGAGAATTTCTGTATGAAATTGCATTCAAAAGAGAATAGAGAGTGCAAATGGCTTCCCTTTCCTGATACAATAATCTCTTCAATACTTTGCAGCTTCCCTTGCTTCCTGCATTTCAGATAAATCCCAAGGAAAAGCATAATGTGGGAACATCTTCTGTTTTTATTTTTTTTCCCCCAGATCCTGGACAGCCAGGAAGGCTGCAGAGTAATGGAAAGATGAGAAAGAGAAAAACAATTCTGGCAGCAGTCACCTCTACCATCTCTAGAACGCTTAAAGGCACCACCCAAAAAGCTAAAGAATAAGGTGGGAAAACAGAAGCCTCTGACACAACTGAAAGAAATCTGTAAGAAATTGGAAGGCAGATTTGGAAACAGCACTAACATGGACCAGTAGTCAAACTATCATAAAGCTAGCTATGCTGGGATTCCTCACAATCACCGAAATTCCTTAGAATGATTTTTAGTTTCTGCTATTGTTATGAACTGCTTGTTCTCAACCTGTCTTCTAGTCTCTCCTCCTATTTGTTTTATTATCAAACCAGCATATTATTTATTTACAGTCTCAAACCAATAAAACACAAGTACAAAATCATTTAAAGTACAGGAAACAAGAACTGAAACAATAATGAGAAAAGGATATCGACTGGCTTCTGCAAGCCATAGCTATTGCTAGAAACTTGGCAACTTTCATAGTGATTGTCCAAGTTAAGTCTAGCAGAAGGAAGATTGTGATTTCTTGATTAAAGAGACAACTAAAATTTTTGACAATCAGATTTATGAGTGCCAGGTGACGTGGGTGGTACAATGGGCAGTGTAAACAATACATGGGCTACTGATTTAACTTCTGTATCTGAGCAGACACAAAGATGTTTGTTATATGGGAGACTAGTACATTTTTATAGTATCTGTAATAGGTGGTATGCCAATTTGAGCCAGGGTAAAGTCTCCTATATGGAATATGTAGGATATTGTAGAGATACCTAGGAATCATCCACGGAGAACTTGCAATTGTGCCATATGGGATGGATGATTTTGACCCTGTCATTTTGTAGATTTTCTGTTTAAGTTCGATTAAGGTTTTATCTAGGCTGAGTGATGATATTGCCATGGCTGAGAGGCCACAATACATCCAATCAGAATCAATTTGCCCCCTTATTGCACACTAGCAATAATTGTGGAAGAAGTAAGAGTGATGGGATCATTGCTCATCTGATGCTCCAAAGCCAAGGCTATGAGCAAAACAGCAGGAACAGTGTTTAATATATAAACTGGAACTATGCACAGGGTCTTTGAAGAGGCTTGGGGCATTTTCATTTAAGACTCCCTTCTATTTTTATGTTTTAATTATTTAATCTAATATATACTTTTATCCAATTTATTGGATGAAATAGTAATCCATCTGGTAATTTCACATGGTGAACCATAGGGCCTCCTCCCATGGAGTGTTCTGGAGTCCAAAATTAATTCAAAGTAAAAGCTGGTGTTTCAGTTGTTACTACCCATATCAAATACAGGGTCTGGTTCTAAAGTTCAGCAGAGCCAGGTAGCTGCTTCAAGCAGTAGAAACGGAAGGCTCTGGTATCAATCTCTTCTCCCAACACATCCCAGCTATGCCAGCAGGTAGGAAGGCAGCCAATCCAAAGTCTATCTAAGTGTAACCTGTGCACATGCTCTGTTTATAGGACTGCTGCTGCAAATGTGTCAGGGAGAGGTGTCAGCAAACAGTAGTGAGGGATTCACAGGCGAAAGGGCCTATCTTGCACTTCCCAGGCTAGCCTGCTGCTCTTGGGTATGGCCCACTGCTGATGTTAAAGTAAGATTTAACTGTGGGTGCTATTTAGTAATTTAAATATATTATTTTCTATATTTTAAAATTATTTTGCACATCTTAAGCATTTTTAAATGCTTCACTTTACAGCAGATCTACAGTTTATGATAAAACTCCATCTAGACTGATATACATACATGTATACACAGACCCACACCCATACCTACACAATAGTATCCAAGCACAATCCAATTAAATATTATTACAATGTGAAGCATTGCATTGAAGTATGTATTACAATATGAAGTGAGCTGCCCAGAGTTGCTTAAGATGGGCAGCTATATAAATATGAATGAATGAATGAATGAATGAATGAATGAATGATTTGATTTGATTTGATTTGATTTGATTCAGCTACAAAAATAAGATACTTCTTTTAAAGCTCTGAATTTTAAGGATAATTGGGTGTGTTTGTATGTTTTTCTCATGAAAAAATTATTAGAAATCCCAAAAGGTGTGTTCTTTAAGGATAAATTGCTCTTCAGAGAAGAACATGCTATTTACTTTAATGCAAATGTTCCAGTAAATGCATGTTCTGTAGCTCTGATTTTTAGTTTTTTGCCAGAGGATGAAAAGTGCCATTTGAACTAATATTAAGAGGAATTGTTAGTACATGCAAGTTACAGAAATTGGACACATGTTCCTTGCTCAAATTTTGTGACTGGGTTCACACAAAATACCAAGTCAGATTTTTTAAATCATGAGTTATTGAACAAGCCATAATGACCTTGTGCAAATAATGTCAGTCTAAATCAGAAATATACTACATTAGGGCTAGCACATAAAAGGGCTTATGCCTTCAGGATACCTGTAACAGTCTCAGTGTTCCCCAATTAAGTACCCAGCCTACCACTTTCAGAGACACCAGTTGAAAAATACTACTGGAGTTTAAGAAGTCCAATAAAGCAGATAAAGGAGGCAGAACTGTTCCAGCTTCTCTGCTTATAGGACCAGGCTTCTAGAATTGTCATTACTCTACTCCCTCAGTGTCAGCCCCACTAGGTCATTTAGACTGGGAAATCAACTCTACAGAAAGATTAGATTTTATTTAGATTGGCTGTAATAATAGAATCGTCCAACTGTGCTGTACTTTCTCCTCCTTCTTATACTCTAGTGAATCAGGGAGGTGTCTGCCTGAGCTGCTTCTGAATATTAAGTTGTTTCTCAGGGCTTAAAATGGTTCAGTCCCCTTTACCTGAGTAACAGTTCTTGCATATTTCTATCAAGGTCACTTTCTTTTACTCTCAGCCCTTAGGTAAAAGAACCACAGCCCTGCCACTGGTGGGGGACATGCCCAAAGGGGATTACCTGTTTGGAAACTGCTTAGGGTGTCCCCTCCTATTTGCACTGATGAAGGAACATTGAAAGCAATGAATGAGGGACTGCTTTTTTGGTTGGTTTTAGTAATTTAGCCTGGTAGTCTGGGATGTGTTAGGAAAATGGCAGGAAAGTGGGAACACAGGCTTGCAAACAGTTATCATGGTAGTAATGTGCAGGAAAGATATGATGGGAGGTTGCAACCTAACTTTCAGGAACAGTAGGGTTGGCTGAAGATTGATCTTCTATCCTTTCAGATTGCAAACTAATCAAGAAATTCTTCAGTAATAACAGTCATTTAGACTTCAACTTAAAGTTCTTCTTTTTAATGCTAGATCAGTTGTTTAGCAAAACATCTAATAACCAGGATTATATCCTGGATGATTATGCTGAACTGGCATCCATTACAAAGGCTAAGGAGGAGGGGTGGCTAGTCTTTCCCAGATTGCTAGAATATTTATTTATTTATTTATTTAATCAATCAGTCAGTCAGTCAGTCAGTCAGTCAG